ATACTTTTTTCTACTGTTATATTCTCGGCACTTATACAATGTTTGCTACATAGCAGGTACTCAGTAGTTTCTGCACAAAATAAATGATTAAACCATTATAATTACATTGTTTATTACTTAAAATTCAGCTACGATAGCTTCCCCTAGAGTTTTTGATATGCCTCTATGATATCTGTGTATATTCGGAGTGGAGGAAAGATTCACATACAAAAGTAATTGGGTTGAATTATTGAAAGAGGAAAGAATTAAAGGGAGTCCCATAGTCCTACACTCACCATTACCGTGCTCAGCAGAGCTTAGGATGACAGACAGAAGTAAGGGGTAGATAGAGGTTATTAAATCCTAGGATGTTTATGGAAAAGCAGAGCCCCACTAATCATACCTGGTTCCTCTCCCCGTCTTTGATTAAGATGGCTTCTTTCATTCTTGCTTCTCCTGCCTGGAAGTTGTCAGGGGTCAGGATTTGAAGAAGGCTTTGTTAGGAAGGGCCAGGGTTGATAGCCAATGACAAGTAGAATGAACTCATGGAGATAAGTAAATTATTCATAGTTTGTCATCTTCAGGGACACTCTTGAAAAGCTGATTTCCCGTTTTAGGGTAATATACTACAAAAGAGGAAAGAAAGTACTTACTAGAGATGGCAGTATATAGGGGACAATGCGAATAACTCACACTTTCACAAATTATGGAACTGTCAGATGGTGATGTTACCTGAAGGCAAGTACACTTTTATTCACAGTTATTCACCATATCATCTTATACAATTCAGTTCTGAATTGGAGATACAGTTAAGATTTGAGATAGGAAAGAATAATTCAAACAGCCCCATATCAGAGCTTCATTACCAACTTATCTTCATGTAATTTTAGGTGTGTTTATCATCTTTATTACTCATATGTTGCCAATATAATGTTTATAATTAGGGAAGTAAACCAATAAATTATAACTCTTATCACAGAAATCATCCAAAATTTAGCAATAGGCAAAAGATATGAATGGCCTTTCTCTCAGTAGAGGGCTTCATTTGAAATTCTAGCAACAAAGCTACTTTCCAACTCTAGGCAAAGGGGTTAATTAGTACAGTTTCATCCAGTAGAAATGCAAATAATGTCTGCCCAATGGAACACATAACCTGAGATGTTATGGTTTATTATTATATTGTAGGATACTAAGCCAGTTTTGTATCTAATCCTCTCATTTATCTCAATATTTATTTATATAATACATATATATATATTGCTAGTTTCTCAAATGCTCTTTAGATTAGTTTCTAGATCTCATGAGTTCCCTCTTTAGGTAATGAACTGAATAAAATCCTTGATTTTTTCATTTTACTTTTGTTATGAGAGTTTTTTTTTAACTTTTACAAAATCAACACTAATATTTTTTATTAGCTCTCAAAATTACCCTATGTTCTGTTGACTTTACCTACTGGGAATCAGTTGATTGACAAGAAACCTCATAAAGCTTACTGCTTGCTTTACAACTAGAAGCATTACATTCATCATTTGTCTTTCCTGTTTTCCATAAACGCATCACCCACTCTTCCCACCCAAGTTATTACATGGATAATTCTTGGTTTTTCATAGGCCTTGATCCATGCTTGGTACTTTATGACTTTGTAACAAGTTTTTGTGTAAAACTTAATTTTACTATAACCACCTAAGCAATAGGCAACTAGAAAAAACACTGCATAGGTCAAATTTGTTTTTGTTCATCCTTATCACTCATAAAACAGATATATAAATCAAAATAAAATATTAGACTTTACAGTGATAACAGACTGAGTTCAACAGACAAAAATATTCTGAATGTCCTATGGAGGATTAAATAATTAAAGAGTGCCCAAAAGTAACACCACCACTAAAGATTATGATACAAAAAATTTTGGAAGAGAAAATTAATAGAATGGTCATTGAAAATAGGTTTTTAAAAAATAAAAATGTGCTGTTTCCTTCTACTACCCCCCATAATATGACACTTGCCAAGGGGCAGTCAGCAACTTTCTGATCATTCATAAACAATAATTTCTTCTTAAGGAAGGATTTCATTTCTCTAGCTGTAGTCAAATTTTTCTACACTATTTTCATCTCCATTAAAGGAGAACCATAAACAAGCAAAAAGAAACATTTCTAAAGATCATTGTATACAAAAAGAGTATTCTATAATTTGGCATTCTCACTCATTCTTGCCTGCAGCCTCATTGTTACTTCTGGCCATTTCATTCTAGAACGTGAATGAAAAGACAAAAAAGCAATTTTTTATTAGGAATTTATTAGGAGAAACTCAAAAATGAAGTAAAAAAATTGGTAAGGTTGCATAATAGGATTTAAGAATGTCCTTTCTTCCAATTGCTGACTGAATAAAACATCAATATGGATGTTTAATATAGTTTAGAAAATTATTAATATTCTTTCTACACTGTCAAGAAATATTGGTAAATAATGTAGAGATTGTGTTAAAAAGGTAAGTAAACATAAATGGCAAAAACTTCTGTTCCTAGAGAGATTTCATGTGATATGGTGTTTAATTTCTAAAAAAGTAAAATCTTGTTCATCTGAAATGCCACCTTTTCTGTAAAAATTTCTGATAAACACCAAAAACTGAGTTATTCAGCTCCTGTTCATGTTCCAAGAGTCATCCCTCAAGTTTAAATTTATGAGTAGTTTTGTTTAAAAGATTAGGTGGGGGCATATCAAATATCATCGATGTGGAGATTTTAAAATATTAATTATTATAAGCTAGAAATATTTTTAAAACTGAGGTCAGATTTGGCCCAAGGTCACACTAATATATCTCTCATTGTCTACTACTGACATTTGCTGAATATTACCTCAGGCTACATTTTTAGCATTCCCTCTGGCATGTAGAGATTAGATATGACATTTCTTGGCCAGAATAAAACATAAGGTCAATTCTAAAGAATATAATACTGGATTTTTTTCTGTGCAACTTTGCATTTGCTTATCTGTAGTACACAGACAGTTCATTTTAAAGCATGGGACTTATGAACCACTACTGGCACATAACAAATCCTTCCTACAGGATGCCTCACCACCATTGTCCCACCCTATATGACTACCTCCCAGCAAAATCCCTGAGAAAACAAATACAGTGGAAGAAATAATTCTCCAGCTCCAACTGTAAGAGGTTGAGGGAGTTTATCCTCCCACTACCTGAAAAAGATGGTAGTTTCATCAGCAGAATGTTTCCCACTGAGATAAGTGATGATTGGTATAAGTAGATCCATGAGTTACTATTCAACTTTATTGTGAATGAATAAGATTTTGTATAACCTCAAACAGGTATCAATTATTTGTTAAAGTACTTAGGAAAGACAGCCCATTGGTACGTTTGTAGTAGGAAGAAGAATTTTGAAATGTCACGAATTATACTTGGCATTTTATTTTTCTTCCTAGAACGTTAACATTTTTAAAAAGGTAACAATAATAAAAATAACCCACATTTGGCCTGAGAGCCAGTTTGCTCTCATAATCACCCTGTCACACCCACTGAACCTGATTAGAGTCAATTTATAAATGAAATTAGCAAACAAAAATATACTTGAGTTTTGCTCTCTGAATGAAATGCAAGGCTTACATAATTCAAGCAACTAAACATATAGATAGTTAAAATGAAGAAAAAAAATCTTACAAACCATGAACAATATCCAAAATGAATAAAATTGTCAACTTAAAATTTAAAATACAATTATAATTACTTCTTGTATGGCTATTGGTACTGAGCTACATGGCACAATAAAATACACTTAATATGCAGTAACGGGTTTATTTTGTGTAGTCTAGGTCTTATCTAGAAAGGCACACCTAGAGGTGGGTTTAGGATCCTGATTGCAGGATTCCATTATCAGTAATCCAGATAATCTGAAAACTTGAAAATAATGCCCTTACTCCTGGATTTAAATATTATCTACAAACAACCATTACTATTAGGAGAAACTCAACAAAAAGCCAGTAGATACACATTTCCTTCTATATGCAGCAATATGTCTTCGTAGATATCTAGGAAACGTCACTGTATGTTGAAGGCGCCTGTGCTATGCTACTTCAACCTTCTCTATTAAATAAAGTGTCAGTAACTGGGTTGAAGCTACAGAGCACAGACAGCTCTCTATATCTATAAGGAGTGCAATGAGCCATCCAAGCTAACTCAGCAGAGTGAACATTCACTAACAAAATGATTGTGGAGACCCATTGACTTGATGGATGCCTGGGATTGTATGGCATAGAAGAGCCCATGACAAAAATGGGAACAGATTCGAAAGTCATTATCAGCCTCCTTTTATCCATTCTGGCATGGTTGATTAGTATGAGACAGGCTCCCTGTTTCTTCTCTCTTTCCTGATACTGTTCTATGAACCAATGAATGTTTTCATTTGGAAAATAAGAAAGCATTGACATGTTATCTGAACTGTGGCTTCTTATAGTGATGCCAAGGGAATAAATATGCTAATTCTGTGCTTTGAAGAACATACTGGGTAAGGCCCATTACTTTACTGATTTCAGTGATTTCTATGCCCAGGTGAGAAAAGTTTAAAACTACATACCACAGGATATTTCTTGATGCAAAAATTTTGATTTAGAAATGTAACGGGGAATTACAGTGACACATTTTAATGTACTTTCAAATGGTAATCTGCATATTACATTCTCCAAAGTAAAGTTTAATTCATCATTTGTTAATTAACTCAAAGCAATTTACCTGAAACTATTGCTTGATTCTTCAAAAAGGAAGCAGTTACTATGAAAAGCTACCACAGAAATCTTGAAATATTCACAAAGTCTTACATTAGAAATGCCTTTAAATATAGGAATAAAAGACAATCTGCCGTATATGCACACAAATGTACACAAACACATTCCTCAAAGAAATATTTCCTCAGAACACCAGAGCTTTCATAGAAGGAACTAAAAAAAACAGAAGTACCAACTAGAAAGAAGAGTCTTCCCTAGCTTTAAAACTGGAACGAAACAACTCTCAACATTTGCAAAACATTCCTTTATTATTAGAAATAAATTATTTGTATAAAAAATTGCATGCATCAATCATTGCATTTATTTTTAGCACAACCCAGGGCTTCAATCCGGTCAGCCATTACAAGAAACAGACTCATTTTCTTATACAAGTTGAACAATGTGGGACAGGAACGGGAGTTCTCACAATCACAGAAAAATACTTACAAGAATAACATCGGACATGATTTATTTCAACAGCATTTTTTTTCACAAGCTAACATTAGTTTTCCTTTTGTGATTTTTTTTTAACTGCTCATGAGTAAGCAATACTTTAGCTTGACACTTATTGGTTTTATTGTATAAAACGGGTTTCTTCACTTCCCGTTTATTGATACTTTTGGCTCATGGCTAATTTTTGTTCCTTACAAGACTGACTATTGATTGGATTGATTGTAGTCTACGGAGATCTCCAGGAGTGAATTTTTGTGGTCTCATGTTCATTGTTTAACATCATATACCACATTTCTTCAGAATGTATCATTTCCCTGTTTCAGATTGAATGATTGCTGTAGCTGATATATGTTGTCTTGGTAGAGGAAGCTGTTAAGATAAATGAGGACAAATTAAAATAGCATATAACAGTACATCATTTTGTTAATATGATTTTAAAATTCAAATCCTGTAATGACTGTTTTATAATATCCAGCTTTTACAGCATGTTACTCATTATTTTTAAACCATTCACAGTCATGCACAGCATAATGACACTTCAGGTCAACAGCAGACCACATTATATAAAGGTAGTCCTAAAAGATTATAATGGAGCTGAAAACTCCTATCACCCAATGAAGCCAGCCATCATAACATAGCACATAATTCACGTTTGTGGTTTGTTGTATAAACACACTTCCTGTACTGCCAGTCATGAAAAAGCATAGCACATACAATTACGTACAATACATAATACTTGATAATAACACGACTGTGTTACTAGTTTAAGTATTTACTACACTATACTTTTTTATCATCATTTAAGAGTGCACTTCTTCTACTTATACACTATAAAGTTAACTGTACAACAGCCTCAGGCAGGTCCTTCAGGGGATTCCAGAATAAGGCATTGCTATTACAAGAGATGACAACTTCATGCATGTTGTTACCCCTGAAGACCTTCCAGTGGAATAAGACATGGAGGTGGAAGATTGATGATCCTGACCGTGTAGAGGCCTAGGCTAGAGTGTGTGTGTGTGTGTGTGTGTGTGTGTGTGTGTGTGTGTGTGTATCTTAGTTTTAAACAAAAAAAGTTTAAAAAGTAAAATGAATAAATAAAAATAGAAAAAAGTCTATCATTGAGTAAGGATATGAACATAGAAAATAGTTTTCATAGCGGGACAATGCGTTTGTGTTTTAAGCTGTTATTCCTAAAGAGTCAAAATTTAAAAAGAATAAAAAGTTTATAAAGTGGCCGGGCGCGGTGGCTCACGCCTGTAATCCCAGCACTTTGGGAGGCAGACACGGGTGGATCACAAGGTCAAGAGATCGAGACCATCCTGGTCAACAAGGTGAAACCCCGTCTCTACCAAAAATACAAAAAAAATTAGCTGGGCATGGTGGCGCGTGCCTGTAATCCCAGCTACTCAGGAGGCTGAGGCAGGAGAATTGCCTGAACCCAGGAGGCGGAGGTTGCGGTGAGCCGAGATCGCGCCATTGCACTCCAGCCTGGGTAACAAGAGCGAAACTCCGTCTCAAAAAAAAAAAAGTTTATAAAGTAAAAAAGTTATCATAGGCAAAGATAGTATAATATTGAAAAAGGAAAGTTTAAAATAAATTTAATATAGTCTAAGTGTAGAGTGTTTATAATATCTACAATACTGCCATGTCCTAGGCCTTCACATTCAGTCACCACTCATTCACTTAATGACCCAGGGCAACCTCCAATCCTACAAGCTCCATTTATAGTACGTGCCCTATCTACACATCACATACCATTTTAATCTTATATACTCATTTGTTGCTGTATTTTTTCTATGTTTAGATGTGTTTAGATACACAAATATCATTGTGTTACAATTGTGTATACAATTCAGTACAGTAACATGCTATACAGGTTGTGGCCTAGGTAGAATTGCTATACTATATTGCCTGGGTGTGCCGTAGGCTATACTATTTGGCTTGTGTAAGTACACTGTATGATGTTTGCACAAAGAGAAAATTGCCTAACAACGCATTTCTTAGAACATGCCATTAAGCAATACATAACTGCAGTAAAAATTACATGACAGTAGAAATAAAAATGCTGCAGCAATTTTAACCTGTCAAAGTCAGGAGTCTCATTTATAGTATATACATATGTAATCAAAAACCAAAAATATAAAAGTGCCAATCTTTAATATTTTAGGTAAAATTTTACCTTTGCATATATGTAGAATAAAATAATAGATCAATTATCTGTCCTACAAAATACGAAAAGTATTTTTTACTACCTAAGTCAAAGACCTTGATTCTTTGAGACTTATATAATGACCAAAAAAGTAAAGTGATTATAATTAGTTGTGCTATGAAAATAAATACATCATACACATAAAAATACACAATAATCTTAGACTTCAGAGGTGAACATGCTAAAATATCAAGTATATAGAATAGTAAATATGTGAATTGCCAATACATATTTATGGTTTGTTTTGGTTTCATCAAAAGGAGACAAAAGAAGATGCTTAAGAAAATAAAGACTCAAATAAATAAAATATTTAATTGTTTATTACCAACATACTGTAAACTAAAACTCACTATTTTAAGACCATTACAGAGATATTATGGCAACTTTATATTCATGCCTAAACTTCTGGAGAATGTAAATCTAAACCCGAATAATTCCTTCAGATTTCTAAAAGATGTGATGCCATGAACTGCTGTCCTAAAATTCAAATGTGATGTCCTATTTTTTCATGTAATTCTGGAATGAATAATCATAAGATAAAAGATATTTTAAAAAGCAAAGCATGTATGTGTTTCAAAACATAAATCCAATTCAGGATAAAAGAGATTTTCAGAAAATAATTTAGTTATTGAATACTGAATAACACTAGAAACAGTCAAGTTCCTCCTCTGAAATAACTGACAATCAGACTCATTCCATCTTAGTACATTACACTATTGAAGGACTAGACAAGTTCTTACCAGAGACCAAGTTCATACAAAGTTCATAACTACCAAAATTAATTCAGATAGCCCTAAGAAGTGCTACTATAGATGTTTTTTATTATTTATTATTTCACTGAATATTATGAGCTTCAGGGTAAAAATAGTTGATATATCTGCTTATCTTATCTACATTGGTTACCCTTCTAGGGTATTATTATGGCACAGCGCAAAGGAAGTAGACTTTAGACCTGGTTTTAAATTACATTCTATTCTCCACAAGTGAGTGAAAAAAAAATGTCACTGGGCCAGGTTACTGGGCCTCAGTTTTATCACTAGTTCAGAACCTACAATACTGGGTTTCTGTGAGGATGAAAGCAGAATAGATTTGGATGGAATAGCTATAGTCTGGAAGAGCCAATATAGAGCCAGCCTCCCTCCCTCCCTCCCTCTCTTCCTTCTTTCCTTTCTTCCATCCTTCCCCTTCTTTTCTTTCCATGAACCATACATGAGACCTAATGGAGTACTGCTTTCTAATTAACCTCTCCAGAAGGTATAGTTGTTACATTTGACTTGGTTTGAAGTGAAACACAATGATTTTCTATGATTGCTCATTTTTACTTTTTATTTTTAATTTATATAATGCTCTCATATGCCTCTAAATTTCCTCTAAGAAAATAAAATCTGTCCTTCAGTTCTGTTTTGGAAGGACTTTCATATAATCTTCACAGACAAGGTGGAGAAAAGTTGTCATAAGAGTTTTAAAAATGACCATTAAAAGTATCATCCAACTCCTGTTCAGTATTTTCACCAATAACTAAAAATGTAGGAAATAGTTATAAAATTTATATATAGCTAGAAAAAGAATTATGGTTGAAATAGAGTAAACAAGAATTGAAAGAGCTTGAAAAATACAGTATTCAGAAGATGTCCATTCAACAGATGGCAGTTTGGATCAGACCATTTTTAAGGATCTTTCCAACTTTGGGGCTCTGTAGCTAATTAAAGATACCATTTTTTGAACTCTTTTTTTTTTTTTTTTGAGATGGAGTCTTGCTCTGTAGCCAAGCTGGAGTGCAGTGGCACAATCTTGGCTCACTGCAACCTCTGCCTCCTGGGTTCAAGCAATTCTTCTACCTCAGTCTCCCAAGTAGCTGGGACCACAGGCGCATGCCACCATGCCCAGCTAATTTTTGTATTTTTGGTGGAGACGGGTTTCACCATGTTGGCCAGGATGGTCTCGAGCTCTTAACCTCGTGATCCACCCGCCTTGGCCTCCCAAAGTGCTGGGATTACAGGTGTGAGCCACCGTGCCCGGCCTTTTGAACTCTTAAATGTGGTTTCTAGGAAGAAAAAAATGGTAGAATTCCATTGAGAATTGAGAATAAAATTCACAAAAGGAGAGTAATGCTAATTTTTCTACAGGTTAGAAAAGGAAGTGTAAGGCTCTGGAAACAGATGATTAAGTCAACATGAAAGTGACGATAAGGGGCACACTTTGTGGGTGGCAGATATCTCCTAAGAATCTTTATTGCAGAAGTATTATAGAACAAAATGAATCAGAGACGTACAGATGAGTTCATAGGGAGATTTTTTCCAGTGTTTTTTTCACAGTGATGAATATGCTTATATGAAAATCAGCTTTTGAGTATAGCAACAGTAAATTTCCTTGTGTGCACCACACTGTGTTCACAAGCTAGAGAAAACAAATCTACCTGCAGCAGCTGTTTTCATGAATTATTCATGAGCATAGCTTAAGGAATACTGTGTACAGCATTTGTTAATTGAGTACAGTTGGCAAGATTCATATATATCAACTTTGTTTCTAACTCCCTTACACTCTGTTATGAAATAACACTTGACCTTTTTTTCCCTAAATATAAAATATAGTCTGCAAATTCAGCAATTAACACTGTACTCATTGGTTTCCCATCCAGCTTCCTATTACTTATATTTATTCTGTGTAGGTTTTGAAGCTTTAACATTCTGAACACAAATCTACCCTTTCATTGTACAATGGCCATGTAAGTGAACAAAGGTTAAAAATGGTGACTTGGAGTAGGATTGTGGAAGGATGTGTGAAGATGTCATACATCTTTCTCTCTTGAATGAATACACTGTAATCACCTTACTTGGGCCCAACTTACTCAAACCTAAACTACTCCTATAAAAGATCAATGCACTAAAATCTCCCAAGCACAACTAAATCTTTTTTCTGGTAGTAATTGATATTATCTTGATTCACTTCTTGACTTTTCTTCACCTCCTAAAAATGAGCATCTGACTCCTCCAAAATATTAGACTTACCTTGTGTTTGCAATCTTTCATTCTCATTTTAAGAAAATAGAGAAATACATGCATGCTATATAATTTCCATTTCAACATTAACAGAAAATAACCAAAGGAAAACAGTGTGAGATTCACTTCAATAATATGAGATTAGTTCTTATCGATACTGAGAATTTTCTTTTGCAGGGCATCTATTTATTCTTTAAAGTGGTGAAAAGGTTATTAGATTTTTTTCCCACCACTTTCCAAAGGTGAGTCTGGATGACTGGCATTTATTTGACTATAAGTTTGGTTCTTTTATTTGGCAACTATATTTTATAAAGTTTCTGGATTGCTGCTAAAAAATAAAAAAAGAAAGAAAGAAAAACAGGTACAACAATAGACTCTAGTGAGTCATATTGAGAAGTACCACTGTTCAAATTATAACACTGGCCAACAGCAGTTTATTGGTATCCCATAATAGGTTTTAACTTCCTACACTGATGCTCTCAAGGTAGGAAAAAAGATGAAATTTTTCCCCAAATCACAAGCATTCTACTCTGATGCCTTTAATGGCAGTTATAGTATACCTTTTGCTAAGAGCTGAAATAGGTTTATTATTAGTAAATTGCTTCCCTACACTCAGAGATGATTGTAATGATTTGTTCCTAAAGCCCATCCTTACCTTGCTCTCTCATATTTCTTACTCCACAAGGTTTCATGTTTGCAGAAAGGTGAATATATGGAGGGTGTTTACGAAATTCTTGTAAGGTTCAAACCTCTACAAGTGACTAAATTTGGTATCAGTGACCTAAAGGTAATCTTTTTAGAGCCAATCTGGCTAATAATTCCAGATAAGCTGATAGTAACTTAAACTAGTATGTCTAATTAAGCAATGCTAATCAACTATCACAGGGTAGTTCTGTGTATGGTACCTTGACATAGACAAGATTTCATCTAGAAATCTTGATACAAAAGGTTTATAGATCGAATGTAGACCATGAGTTGTTATAATAATTAAACCAAATAAAATTAATTCGTAGTTTTTCCTTGTATTTAGTGTCAAAAATATGGAGAGTAGGGGATACAGACTGGTGGATGAATATGAGAGGAAGAGAATATTTTTGCATAGAATTTTGTCCTTATTTACTGAATGCTTGGCCTGGTGTGGTAACTCACACCTATAATCCCAGCATTTTGGGGGGGCTTAGGTGGGAGGATCACTTGAGCCAGCCTGGGCAACATAATCAGACCCTGTCTCTACAAAATAAACAAAATTAGCTGGGCATGGTGGCACGTGACTACAGTCCTAGATATTTGGAAGGCTGAGGTGGGAGGATCACTTGAGCCCAGGAGGTAGAGGCTACAGTGAGCCTAGATCACCCCACTGCGCTCCAGCCTGGGCAACAAAGCAAGTGCCTGTTTCAAACAGAAAACAAAACAAAACGAAACAAATATCGAATACCTATATTCTATTCCAAAAGACTGGAAGCCACTCTTCTTTTATTTATTCATCTGTAGAACCTAGTAAGGAAAGGTTGTCATGTTTATCATACTAAGCTTTCTGGTATTTTACCATACAAATCTTCAATCTATTTGCCACTCTTTCATAGATAACAAGATGGACATCAATAAATCCATTAAATTCTACAGGCTGAGCCCAGGTTTCTGTGTCTTGTTATCATGTTCTTCTTTCTGGGTGGACTACAGAGAAGAAAATAGGTGAAGAAAAGAAAAATGGAAAGGTGGTTGTAGAAAATATTGTATTTCCAGAGTCACGAAGCTTTTGAAGAAGAACTTAAGGTCGGGCAAGGTGGCTCACGCCTGTAATCCCAGCACTCTGGGCGGCCTAAGCAGATCACGAGAGTCAGGAGTTTGAGAACAGCCTGTCCAATATGGTGAAACCCCATCTCTACTAAAAAATACAAAAGTTAGCCAGGTGTGGTGGCACATGCCTGTAGTCCCGGCTACTTAGGAGCCTGAGGCAGGAGAATTGCTTGAATCCCAGTAGGTGGAGGTTGCAGTGAGCTGAGATAAAGCCACAGCTCTCTGGCCTGGGCGACAGAGTAAGACTATGTCTCAAAAAAAAAAAAGTAGAAAAACTTCAATTATCTTAATATATCCAAGAAGGGAAGTCAAGGAAAGCCCTTGGGAAGCCAAGGAAAGAGGACCACTTAGGAGAAACAAGTATTAACTGTGACTTAACTAAACATATTGGCTAACTAGAGTTCTCATTTTCCTAAAAGCACAAATAACATCATTTATTTGTGTCAGATATGTAGTAGCATATTCCATAAATATCAGTAAACTATTGATACTATAAAAAGCAGCCGATATTGAACAAGAAAAATTGTGGAATCATTTTCTAAGCACTAAAAGATACTTTTTGTACAAAGAAGATGCTTTCAAATATCAAGTTTTGTAATGCTTCAAAATAAAGATCTGAATGTCATGCTTTGTAAAAGAGATTTCTGAGCAAGTTTGTACTCTGTAGAACAGCCACTTGTCTTGAGGCCATTTGTTTTTAGCCTAATGGTTCTAAATGTGATGGTGTCATGGTATGTGGGTACCACCATGGCCCTAGAAACATGTAGCACAATCCCCAAGACTAGGAGAAGAATGTTCAACGTACATCTATTAGGAAGTGCTCCCGCTCTTGACCATCGGAAAGTCTACAGATGACTTACTGTTGGTTTCAAGACTCTCACAGAGTTCACTTTTCACCTCGCCATTTGGTCTGTCATTTCCTTTTTGGATCAGTTTGCTTTGCATGGTGGCAGCTGTCACCACAGCCTTGAAGCTCCTCTTGCGTTTTTGAACATTCTGTTCTGGATGAAAAATTATAATATAAACCTTGGGCATATAGAGCATGCCCAGAGACACTGAAGCACTTAAACTCATGGAGACAGTAAGTGTTGTTGTCTGGATGTACATCTGAGGGGGAAAAAGAAAAAAGAATCACTGTTGGTAAGCCTAACAGTAGGAGATAAAGCTAATAACATACTATTTTCCAGCTAATTGTTCCAGTTCCTCTGCTAAAGGCACATTAAAAGGCACTTATTGAAATTGTCCTTAATTATAGTCAAGCATTCCTGTATCCTAACCTGCAAATTTAGATGAGTAAGTTTTTTTTTAATTGAACCCAACTTTTAAAAATAAAAATACAAACAACCAAGCTGGTGGAGCTTATTTTCCCTTTTAGATTGTAAATAAACACACATAAGGAAGGAGACAAAACCAGTCTGGCAAAACACTAACACTTAATGCCACAGAGATCATCCTTAGAAGGTTCTAGTGGTCCAAGTGTTGTTTTGGCAGTAAGTTTAACCCAGAAGGTAAACTGTATATAGTGAAAATAGGGTGGGAGTGCAACATTCGAGAACATCACTATTACACACCAGTGCTTGAATAACGCTAGTGGTTGCATCTTCACATCATTAATAATTCCAACTACCAAATATAAGAAATCACAAGCATGTCATAAGGGCTTGATATTTTTTAGCAGCTCCTCTAAAGAACACTGTCAGAGGGTTCTCAGTGATTGCATCATATCAAAATAAGTCAGGTCCTTTTACAAAATATGTAATACCTCCTTCCTCCAAGATACATGCACTGGGGATATGGTCCCGGTCACTGCATTCTGAAATTCTCCCCCTGTGCTCATTGTTCATCCTATCCTATTGACATTGACTTACAGAGAGAGTTCTCTCTGGAAGGTTTTTCTTTCTACAACCTAGAGGTTAAGAATCTGAAAAAACAAACAAACTAACTAACAACAAACAAAAACCAAAGCTAAAATCACTGCTTTGCTGGGGTTTTTTTGCTTATGGTATTGAAGCAGAAACACAGTATTTTATTTTTTAAAAACAGAAACAAAAACCTTTGATCTGGTTCCATTTTTCATGTCCTGAGCTCAAAATATACTTTCCCCCAAATAACCTGGGATACTGAGGCCACAGGGAAACTACATCTTAAGACCGTGAATAGATTCCCTTTGTCATATCTATGATCCTTGTTAATAGATCTGTTCACTCAAATTACATCTCTGAATATGATCCTGTTTAGTTGGATTTTTAAAATTATGCCTTAATCTGTTAGTCTGGCTAAAATGTAGGGTACTAGTTAGATTTCATCTGGCAATCCTCAAGACCAAACTAATTGTGTCCTTTTTAATGAAGGATCAAAACAACCATTTGTCCTCAAGGGTAAATAAGTGAATCAGCATTAGTGTTGCCTTTTCCTAGAGGAGAAGGTTTCTCTTAACAGATGGCAAAACCTTGAGGTAAAGAACTGTCCAAACCATGAGCAGGATGTGAGGCACAAGTTAAGAGACTGTCTTTGGATATGAAATCATACCACGCAGACTGCTGAATTTACTGTCCAATTCATTTACCACTAAGGCTGTCCTTGCATAAGAGCCCATTGTAAGTGTGGAAAACCCTTTAACAAGGTTTACTACAAAGTTTACAAGATTTACTACAATTAAGAACATCCCAATGAAATAAGGATATGTACCTTTACAGCTCATAAATCTCCGTAAGCTTTGCCATCTACTTTTAAGCAACCTATTGTTGTAAACATTCCTAAGCTTCTCCTGTGTCGGTTAATCTTCCTTGAGTTCCTGTTTTGCAGCTAGCATTGCTGCAAAAACCCACACAGAAAATGGACTACATAGAAATGACATAAAGGGAAGAAAAGAATGTGGCAAAGTAAAAACCACACCCATATATGTTCCAAAGATACTCAAATAGAAAACAATCAGTTTTGTCCCAGTCAGACCCTGCCAAGTCAATTTAGCCTTAAAACGAACTAACAGATCATGGAGAGACAGCCATAAAATTATGGGAACACCGAATTGATTAGTCGGATTTTTAAAATGTGCCTTATTCTGTTACTCTTCCTAACATCTATAGTACTAGTCCAAATAGTGCAGAAGTATTTTTGTATTAAACATCCTATACATTTTCTCTGCTACCAAGAATATAAGTGATAATAGTCTTATCTTATTTGGAATAATTTCTGCAATATATAGTAAATTTAATCCTGCTAAATATTAGGCATGAAGAAGACTCTGGAATGCTGGCTTCCTCAGTAAATACATTACTGTAGTCTATCCTTTTGGCAAGCCAATGCAATGAAAGATGTAATAAACACAGGCATTAGAATTAAATAGTACTATGGTTAGAAGAGCAAGCTCTTCATTAGACACTATACTTTCAAATTATTCCAAAATGCTGATCTTAATTATGTACTTTCTTAAAACAGCTTCTGAAAAATTTTAATGTGAGTTTAATACAGGAAAAGCATCTAACAAAATCCTTAGCAAACTAACACAGGAATAGAAAGCTAAATACAGCATGGTCTCACTTACAAGTGGGAGCTAAATGATCAGAACACACGGAGACACAGAGGGGAACAGCACACACTGGGGCCTTTTGGAAGGTGGAGGGTGGAAGGAGGGAGAGGATCAGGAAAAATAACTAATGGGTACTAGGCTTAATACACGGGTGATAAAATAATCTGTACAACAAACCCCCATGACACAAGTTTACTTATATAACAAACCTGCACTTGTATCCCTGAACTTAAAGTAAAAGTAAAAAAAATCCACAAAATCATACCCTAAAGTCTACACAAGCTTACAGTGGCTTAGCATTTGTTACAGGGCCATGGATTAGGTAAGATTAGATTGAGTTTTTTAACTTCATCTTTGAAAAAGTCATATATGTCATAACCTCAATGAAAGCAGTAACAACAAAACAAGCAAAGAAATGTAAATGCCACCTACTGTCATTCTAGAGAAATTAAATCCTTAATAGCGTGGATTATAGGATTCCGATTATCTCCCATATTTAACAAGAAGTTGAGAGATTATACTTAACATTTGAAAATAAGCACTTGATTTTTAAAAATGCATGGATTTTTTATACCTATAGAAAATTCTAATTACTTGAGCCATACACGGAATGAATATGTTTCAGTAGACCTGGGTATAAATTCTAGAACCACCACTTACATATATTTTTTTAAAAGATAAAGTTTACAAAGAAATTCTAGAGTTACTTTCTGGGTGATAAAAGCTCCCAAACCAACCTACCAGGCTACACTCCAAACTAATAAATCTTCCCTGGTAATTGGACAAATATGTTATCTTAGTTTCTTCTCTGAACACTAAGTTCTTATCTATGTCATGGGGTGGGGTGGTTTGGGGTAATACTTTTCTCATAGAAGAGTTACAGGGTAGAATATTTTTAAAATCTCTTATAGATAGAAGATAGCTCAAGAAAGATTTTTTTACCCTACAACTTTGCATCTAAAAAGATGCTAACAAAGTATCCTTCCAGGAGTATAGGACAAAAGAAGGACTTATTAGACACTTCTCAAAGCAGACAATTTTGTTTAGCAAAAAGCTGATAGCCAGGCTCTGACTATATGATGTCGAGAAAAAGCCCTTTGTAATCTCACTTCAAAGTAGGCAGAATAAAATTTTGTCCAAATGTGAGCTCAAGACCATATTCACTGTCTGGGCCACATTCTTAGAATAATATAACAGCTCTTTGTCTTCAAAGTTCCAGCTCACCAGAATGCAGGAGGGGACTATATTAACTCCCCCTCACCCACAAACATTCAAGAGATGCTAGCAATGAGACTGGATATGTTAATAATAATCTTCTCTTTTCCAGCCTTTTTCTTATGTGTTCCCTCCTGGCCCTGTCACTCCAAAATACTAACACCCAGAGGATGGGGACTATCTTTTCTATCACACACACTTATGGCTTGTTACTTACTCTGCCTCCATGCCCCATGGACATTTTGAACCTGAAGCAGTCAGATGAACTGAAGTAGATTTAAGCAATCTCTAGATAAGCCAGGGTTGAGCTGTGAAAATGGAACATACTAATATGAAACCTTTTCTGGGACCTATTACAGTTCCCTCTTCAAACTGAATAGGTCATCTATACATATCCAAGGTCTACTCAGTGTAGGTCATGCTCTGGAATTATTAAAGACTGCAGGAAGAGTGAGGAGAAAGGAGATTATATTTTACCAGGGTAAAGGTCAGTCTTTTGCTTTCAGCCAGCTACCAGTGCAGACGCCACAGACTCTGACATCCAACCTGGTATGTTTGCAACCTCTTAGTAACTAAGGTAAGCTATTATGTAACCTAACACTCAAGGCAACTTTATGCCACATAAGAAACGGATTTAGTATTTATTCCCGAACATTTCTGTTTTGCACTCAATGGTTTACTCTTCCCACTCTGTTATAGTCACCAGGTTCTATATGGCTGCTTTGCATGCTGCTTGATCAGTTAGAAAACTACGCTAACGGCCGGGTGCTGTGGCTCAAGCCTGTAATCCCAGCACTTTGGGAGGCTGAGGCGGGTGGATCACGAGGTCAAGAGATCGAGACCATCCTGGTCAACATGGTGAAACTCCGTCTCTACTAAAAATACAAAAAATTAGCTGGGCGTGGTGGCGCGTGCCTGTAATCCCAGCTACTTGGGAGGCTGAGGCAGGAGAATGGCCTGAACCCAGGAGGCGGAGGTTGCAGTGAGCCGAGATAGTGCCATTGCACTCCAGCCTGGGTAACGAGAGAGAAACTCCGTCTCAAAAGAAAAAAGAAAAAAAGAAAACTACGCTAACACTGATGCCTGTCTTTCTCTGCTCCTGTTTCTACTTCTCATCTGCGTGTCTGCCAAAGTGAAACTTCCATCAAAAAAATGGATTTCCTTTCACTTTTTAGCAGCCGATAAACTTCAAAATCTCATTTAGTAGGTGATTATTATGGTTTTTTTTTTACAGATATAGAGAAACTTGAGTTGCCCTGTGGGTGGTAACAGGGCAAATCAATCTATCATGGAAAAGTCCATTCTTATAAAACTCCCCTAGCAATTGAAAGTTGCAAAAACTAGAGGCAACCATTCAGTTTTT